ATTCTAAAACTAAAGTTTTAAGACTTTAGTACAATTAGTAGACAAAACAAATTAAAGTTTGTCATGTGTACGGTGAAGGTCTTGTGTCGTTTTTGTGGAAGTCGTGTGTCAATTTTGTGGAGGTCATGAGTCATTTTTGTAAAGGTCATGTCGGACTGCATTGCATATTTTAAAATCTCTGTTTTTTTAGCATCTAAGGCTATCTATCGGCTTTATTGGAAACTTAACCGCACTTGAGGCTTAAATATGCGATCATTGAGCTCTTAATCGAGACCTTTGCCTACTCGGCCACTCGGGCGGATAGATTTTTTTCTTAATTATTTGTGTTTGCAATGAATTTTAAAAAAATTAAAAGAAATAAAAAAATTTTACATGGTTTCGATACAAGGCGGGCGGTGCATATCTTTTTGATATATCTAAGCTTAAATTACGTTATTCTGTATGTGATATTTTAGTTTAAATAAAAAAATAAAAAAGTTTCGTATAACACGGTTTCAAGATAGCACTGTACGTGTTGGACGGGGTACAATAATCTCTGGTACTGTCTTCACCTTGTCATAAGATTTACTTATTGTTTTTTGGATAGATTGCAATTTAAATATGGAATAAAAGAAACAAGAAAGTTCCGTCAGATATTTTTCGAAAATCTCAAAATTGAAAAATCTATATATGAATAAATAAGGGGGAAAAAAGTGAAATAAAACTAAAATGAAAAAAATTTGTACATCTAGCCAAGAAAAACTCTCAGTCGTGACAAGCATCAAACGCAAGCCTTCGCAGTTGGCCCTAGAGTATGTTGGCGGCTTATTAGGCGAAGTTGACAACTAAAAGTTGTAGTTATAGGTGTGCCATCAGCAATAGGCAAGCGATAAGAAGAAAATAGCTAATGGTATATAAGGCCTTCGGTCAAGAGAAAAAGAAATTGAATTCATTCATTCATCACCTATTTTTACAAAGGACTCTTTGGGGATTAAATATTTTGTAATTGTATTCACATTGGCTAAGGTTTTTCTTTATGAAAGCACAGCTCCTTCAAGAACGGATAGGAGCATTAAAGCTTATTTTAATTATTAAAGCCGGTTAGCCAACGTCACCGTTCGTCGACTTTATCAAAAACAAAGTTTCTAATGACGGTAATGCTGTAAGCAATAAATTATTTTTGTACGGTGGGAACTGAACAGGTACGCTCCAAACTGGATGACTTAGCGCAAAGAGCAAAAACTGTTAGAGGCAAAGGCAAGAACCATAAAAGAGTTGCGAAAGTAGATATCGATCTAAAATTTTGTATAAACATTGACCAGATATTATTCCAAAACAAATACCTTGGTGCAGTTATGCACTACCTTTAAATTTAAGACATCTAAGATCCAACTGAAGATGTAAGAATATAACTTTCTTATTCTTTACATTTATCGTCGAGAGATGGAAGTTTTACTACATTCTTATTAATGCTAAATAGCTGCTCTGAGAGCTGAAAACCACTTAAGACACTTGAAACAAGAGTGTGAAGATGAATTCATTTAAATGCCTTTGCATTTATATTGTGTATCCTTTTTTTTTTTAGGTTGACAATTCGCCATGCGTTTTGGAAATACTTGATACCGCCGGTACAGAACAATTTGCTTCAATGCGAGATTTGTATATAAAAAATGGTCATGGTTTTATTGTGATGTATTCCCTAACAAATCATCAAACATTTCAGGTAAGTAGGTCCTGTATGATCTATCATATTTTGGAGAGTTTTGAAAAACTATTTAAAGCGATGAGATTAAATGACAGACTATCTTCCAACCACTTGGGGGGTGTGTCCGGTATTCACGTAAAGCGTCACCGGCCGGAAAGAAGCGAGAAAAAGGGAAAACATAGGGAGCAGATGACGGCCGCAGCCTGGTAGGTGTGAAGAATCAGTGCGAATGTTTTAAATTCAAATTTTTGCCTTCCATTATTACATGTTATAACGGTACGGTTACATGTTACACGGTACGATATGTTTCTTTTCATATTATGGTTTTAAAAAATTTTATGGCGTCGCAAACGTAACTGTATTAGCTGAAAACAAAAAAAATTTTATATACTTTGTGTGACTTATGTATCAAGTTCTCTTGGCAACTGTGTGGGTGGTAAAACCGCGACTCGATTTAGTTGAATTATAAACTTGACGCGAACAGCATTTTTACGGCGAAAGTTACGGATCTAAACCATAAGCATCAAAATTTTGATTCCTTAATTAAGGAAAAAGCTTGACCTTTTGAACTGTAATTGAAGTTACTGTCCTACCTTGCATGCATTCGAACTTAATCTGAAGAGCATTATTTGTCATATGTGATACTAAAGTTTTACGTAATCTATCCTCTATGGTGAGCATTATTATTTTTTAAAATTGGT